CGCTCTATCTGAGCTCGTATCTCAACGATTTCTACGTTCCGAGCTCGTTTGGACTCCCTACGCTCCTGCTCTCCCTCTTGTAACGCTCAGCTACTGAGGGTCCGCGTTCGTCGACGCTAGAGTAGTCATCATATTCTGGAGTACCTTGCATGGTTTCGGTTCGAGAATACGATGACACGCTTCGTTTGTCTGGGATGTGCGCTCCCCTTGGGTTACCACTCGCATCCTCTGTTCGCACGTGTTACTGAGGATTTGGAGGATCCTTGTCCGAGACCCCGTCGAAGCGTTCGAGAGTTCTGTCAGATTTCCGTCGTGGAGGTGGTGGCGGCAAGTTGCCTAGATTCCTTCAAGCAGCACGAGGTGTTGAGAAGTTGAGGCGATGCGGGTCGAAGCGACCCCTGAGTCCTGAGACTTCGGGTCTCTCGTGCTTTCTTCGCGAAAGAGCTTTCAGCTCGATCGTAGTTGCATCGTTAAACTTCTTTTGCTCCTGCGTCTCTTTGAGGAGCATTTCCAGCATCTATTTGACCTCGGTCATGCCTGCTGGGTTATCGGTGACGTTGGCAGTGGAGACTTCGACGGAGTTCTCCTCCTCTTGGTTGGTTTTGCGAGACGAGGACTCCTCGCCGCTGCTGCTTGATTTGTTCTCTTCGCCGCTCATCTTCTCAGATCTCGGGTGTAACGCAGCTTTTTTGTGTGAGAAAGTCTCTAGGCTCCCCTTAGATGGTGTCAAATTGTCGAGGCCAATACCAGCACAACTAGGTTTGTAAGGGTTTCGTGAGGAAACATAGATTTATAGGTTAAGCTACGAAAGAAACGATGAGCAAAGAGAAACGTTTGTTATTGCTGTATATGTTTTTGTGAATAAAGTTGCGGATCCCCTCCTCAAGGATTGTACATTGATATATATAATGTTCCTAAGTCGGCTAGGTTTTTTCACCAAAGATTATGTCTAGTTTCCTAAGTCTTTGCGGATTTTCTTTTTGTCCATGTCGGTTGCGCCGAAGTGGGCTTCGCATCTGGACTAGGCTTCAGCGTTGAGACTTCAAACTCTCGCGGATGCTACGACGTCGCTTCATAGCTGCTATGTTTATCTTCTGGAGATATTCGGGCTTGTCCTCTCAACTGGTTTCGGGCTGAAACCCAACGCAGGAAGTCTTTGGGTCTTTTCCGCGGAGCGAAGGCAGGGTCTTTCCCGCGGAGCGAAGGCAAGATCTTTCCTGCGAGGCGAAGGCAACACCTTTCTTGCGAGGCGGAGACAAGGGTCTTCGGTGGCCATCTATGCCAGAGTCTCCGGTGGTATTTTGGCAGAGTCATCGGTGGCTCCCGTGCTGATGCTTTCTTCTGCATGAAAGCGAGACTCAGAAGACTTCGCATGGCATGCTGGGAAGACTTCGCCTCGCGAGTGGAGAAGGCTTCGCCTTGCAAGCGGAGAAGAATTAGGACCGGAGAAAACTTGTCTCATGGCTAGCAACGACTTAAGAACCATATAATCTCTGGATGTCAACGTAATTCAGCGTACGTTTGTTTTGTTAATCAAACTTTGAACACTGATGTTGAACGGGTGAAATCCGACCCCAACATCATTCAAATCCAAAAATATATATAATCGAATGAAATCATATTCTTAATAACACGCAAATATATATTGTAACTCATTATGAATATTTATGAATTTTGTGATAGAAATA